GCCATAAAAAAGAATGAAATTCTCCCATTTGCAACAACATGAATGAGCTTGGAGAAACTTAGGTTGAGTGAAATAAGCAAAGCACAGAGGGACAAATACCATATGTGCTCACTCATAAGTGGGAGCTAAGAGATAAAGATGGAAAGAAAGAAAGACCATGGTAGTGTGTTGGTCTTGCAGAGGGAGAGAACATACCTAGGGATACAAAGTGGAGTGGGAAGGGGGAAAGGGAGGGAGATTGGGGGATAATTGAGTGGGGTCATGGGGTACAAACGCAATTTGTGGTAATGGGCAAGCTGCCAGTGTGAATCTGGCCTTTACATCTTGGACACAAGGGGTGACAACCAGCTCTGTATCTCATGAATATTCATAACCAAAAAAAAAAAAAGACAAAGATTGTCAGACAAAACTAAAAAATTCAATAAAACCCAACCCTATCCTTTCTGCAATGGACACAACTATCATATAAGAATACAGAAAGCTTGAAATAAACTGTGAGGATAAAGATGCACCATGCAAACACTAACCAAATAAAGCCAGTTTAGCTATCCTGATATTAGAAAAAGTAGACTTTAACACAGAAAGTATTACTAGAAATAGAGATATTTCATAATTAAAAAGATCATTTCGATGGAGGTATATATTAGGGATATGTATGAAACCAGTAACATAGCTTCACAAAGATTAAACTAGTACACACAAAGATTAAATTGACAAAAATACAAAAGAAATACACAAATCCACAGTCATAGCGAGAGATTTTAACACACCTCTCTTAGCAACTGATAGAAAAAAGCAAACAAAGAGATCACTAAACATATAAAACATTTAACACAATTAACAAACTCACTGCACCCGCAAATGCAGAAAACACATACTTTTCAAATGCAGAAAGATCATTTCAATAAGTTTACCATTAGCTGAATCATATCACAACAAATATCAAATAACTGAAATCATATGGAGTATGTTTTCAGTTTACATGTAATTAGGCTAAAAATCAACAATAAGAAGATAATAGAAAAATGTCCATAAATTTGGAAATAGCAACATATTTCTAAAATAATGTAGGAGTCAAAAAAGAATAAAAGTTAGAAAATGTTTTGAATTGAAAGATGAATTATATATATATATATATATATATATATATATATATATATATGTTGTGCTGAAGCCATGCTTAGCAAAAAATGCATACTTCAAATGCATATTTTAGAGAGATGGAAGGCTGAAAATCAATTACCTAAGCATCTATCTCATGAAGATAGAACGATGAATAATAAATTAAATTCAAAGAGTGTAGAAGGGGGAAAAAGTTAAGAAAATATCTCAAGAGCAAAGATTAATAAAATAAAGAATGGTCCATTGAGTTTACTAATTACCTTGTCACAAATATTTCCAGTTCAGTGTTTGGGGAGAAACCAGATGGTAGTAGTTTAAAGATTTAAATGGCAGGTGAGGATGTAGGGAAAGCAAATATAGACTACTTGAGAAATTAGCTTTCAAAGGAAGAGAAATAGGTAAAACAAATTTTCATACACCCTCACTCCCTTGCATCATCAGACGATTCATACAACATGAATATATGTATTTATTCATTCACTAAACATTTATTGAGCACCTACTATGGTAAGCCAGGGAATTATAGGAATACAGTAGAGAATGACACAAAGATGTAGGAAATGAGGTTGGAGAAAATTTAGGTTCATTATAGTACTTGGCAGGCTGGTATAAAGGATTATATTCTATTCTAACTAATTGAAATCCACTGGTTAGTTTCAACATAGCAAACAGGCTATTGAGTGGACAGTCATGTGGTAAAGAAGCAGGGGCAGATCAGCTAGGAGGCTACTGTAGGTGGCTTAGACTATTGTACTGGTCATGGG